CCGCGGTTATTTTTCAAGGGTTTTGTTTGAATCGGGTGTAGTTAGTTTTATTTTTTTAGGAGTAGAAGCCACTGTGAGATGAATTAAATTGGAGCAATAGCTCTTGACGTTGTTATGCCTTGAGAATAGTGAGTACTTTGGTTGTGATGCTTAGGCTCAGTTTTTGACTCTTGTATACGTACATTAAATTGTATAATCTTAACTTTGCTTAGCTGCTTTGACTAGAGTATCTTGATGAATCCAATCTTGAGTGAGTTATGTGCCATGTGTGTGTGAGGTTTGTGTGTTATTCTGTACATTGCATTTGATGTCTAGACCTTGTCCCGTATGTTTGCAAAGTGAAATTGTAGTTTTGTTCAGTCTTGGAAGTGATATAGACGTTTATTTGTTGAGCCAAATATATATTTTATCCGCCTAATTGTTATGTATCGTAGTTAATCCCGTTGAGCCTGTAATCATATTTCTTTGTCAACCACATTACAAGCCTTACCCATTTGTTGGGTTAACCATCTATTTGAACCTTTTCACCTCTCATGAGCACTTGAATTATTATGAACTTTGTAAAAGTGAAAGAGTGGGGTGGTTGGTTTGGTTTTTGAGTGGAACTAATGAAATAAGGAGAAATGTGCACTGTTTTGAAAAAAAGAAGAAGTAAGAGCCACTTGAATTAAAAATAAAAAATAAAAAATAGTTGTATTGCTCTGAAAAATATTCCTAAATAGTGGTGACTCTTGATATTGTGCTTAAAGAAGTATGGAGTTAATATACATTGATTTGAAGGTAGAGTTATGGTTTGATATAAGTATAGGATTTGAATGTTAAAGTATATGTATTAAAGTGCTTAGAGGGGTGTAGTCACTCTTATATCCAAATGTATCCTACCCGACTTGCAGTCTACATTATAACCAATTAAAGTCTCACTTGATCTTAGACTGAATGAGCTCGATTAGTAGAGTAGTACACTACGGGCAAGCCTATGGTGAATTTTTTGTAGCATATGAATGTTATTTCTGAGAGTGAGTGAATTCCTTCTATCTTGAGTTCCTAATTGTTCTTAAAATTTTATTGTGTGTGGAACTACTCTCTTTTGTTGTGTGAGGGCACTTGATTCATGAAGGAAATGTAATGTCATTGACCTCTATGTTAGAGTAAGTGAGTGAGTTGTGGATAATGTATAGTACTTGTGAGTCAAAACTTGAGGTGAAGATGTTACACTCTTGTGCTTAGTCTATTTTAAAGATTCTTGGCGTGATGAGTCAGGAGAATTATTTAAAAAGGGTCGTGTCTATATAAAGTGTAGTTTGATTGCTCGAGGACGAGCAACGTTTAAGTGCGGGGTAGTGATATTTGGCTATAATTTCATATTTTTAGTGCATTACTTACCTTATATTTTGGGGCTTTAATGCTAAACTATACTCTATTTGTGCTTAATTAAGTTATTTTATGTGTAGGTACGTTGAAAATGAAATTGGGATTAAAGTAGAGATTTTTATGTGTATTTTATACACTTCAAGAATGGTTCATGAGTATTTAATCATTGGACAATGAGTATTAGAGTGTATATTTATGGATTTGCACATTTATTGACTAGTTTTGGAGCGTTGGGCATCGGTTGGAGTTGTTGGAAAGGCTTTGGAGCCGGTTACGGAACTTCGGAGCGAGATAAGTCTCCTGCCTAACTCTGTGAGGGGGAAACTACCCTTAGGTGATATATTTAAATATGTGCAACTTATTGCGGGGACTACATACGCACGAGGTGACGAGAGTCCGTACGTAGTTAGATTCATGTTATTGTCCGGGTAAACTTAGGTTCACACCATGTTGTACTTGTACAATAGGAATTATCCTTGCTCGTTTAATTCTTTTAAATCGCATTACGACTTGAGACTAGACATGCGTAGAGTAATAGACTTACTATTGTAGAGATTTTCGCGAGTTTCATGATTTGCCAAGGAATAGTGGTGTTCCTCTTTCGGATTTCTCACGAGTTATGCGTTTTCATCGAACAATTTTCCTTAAAAATTATAACTCGCATGTTTATTCGTGAGTGGGTGTCAAAGACCCGTTTAAGCTTCTTATTCTAATGGGATCGGGCCGTTTGCCTCGATAATTTATTAGATGTATCTATGGTTCGTGCCGTTCGACCCTCGACAATGCACATATTATGATGGGATCGGGTCGTACGCCTCGACATTTCTATAAAATATCCTCACAGAATCGTGCGTAATATCCGACAATAAGCTAGGGTATATGTGAGTTTTTTCCTGATTCGAATTATAANTATATATATATATATATATATATATATATATATATATATATATATATGCTCCGGTTGAGAAGGAATTTGCGAATTGAGAGCTTAAGTTTATTGTAAAGAGGAGAATTATACTACATATTTACACTTATTTATTTTATTTAATTATTCTGCCTCGTATTTGATCACCTCCTTACTGTACCTGATATTATTGGACCACTAGTGAGTGTCGATGTCGATCCCTCGTCACTACTCCTCGGGGGTTAGGCAAGATACTTACTAGGTACACGTTGATTTACGTACTCATACTACACTTGCTGTACATTTTTGTGCAGGTACATTTATGTCCGGTGGTCCTTTAGGCTCAGAAGCGCGGATGATGCAGGGACTTGCCGCGAGCCGCATTTTATGTTACGCTCCGCAGCCAGCAAAGTATCCCTCAAAATTATTTATAATTTTCTGTCCAACTTATATTCCGGACAGATGCTGTATTTTATTTTACTCCCTAATTGATGCTCATGCATTTGTGACACCAGGTTTTAGGGGTGCTTACGGGTCATTCAATAATGTAGTTGCGAAGTTATTCTTATTCACTTGTAAATCCTATTTTGTACTATATAATTAAATAAAACTATGATTTCAATTTCTAAAATGAGCAATTAAGGCAATAATTTATTATTGGCTTGCCTGACAACAGTGTTAGGCGCTATCACGACCTTTAATGGATTTTGGATCGTGATATTTTGGCTCCAGGGTTTGTCTCTAAACCTCCATCCGCGCGTTAACACCGCCTCGAATCTCGTCAATATGTACTATGTCATCTACAAATAACATGCACCATGGTACCTCCCCTTGAATGTGACGCGTCAGTACATTCATTGTCATGGAAAATAGAGATGGGCTAAGCGTTCCCTGGTGCAGCTCAATCACGACCGGAAAGTATTTTGAGTCTCTTCTTGTTGTCTTTACCTGGGTCTTAGCACCATCATACATATCCTAAATTACCCAAATGTATGCTACAAGCATGCCTCTAGTCTTCAAACATCTCCATAAAAGAACCTATTTGGACTATATCGTATGCTTTCTCTAGGTCAATGAACACCATATGCAAGCTTCTTTTTCTCTCCCTATATTATCCCACCAATATCCTACAAGGTGGATAACTTCTATAGCCGAACGCCCCGACATGAATCTAAACTGGTTCTCGAAAATAGACACACTCATCCTCACCTTACTTCTACCATCCTCTCCCAAACTTTCATAACGTGGCTTATCATCTTGATTTCCCTATAGTTGTTATAATTTTTGATATCTTCCTTGTTCTTGTACAACCGATCATCATGCTTCACTTCTATTTTTTTAGCCTCCTCATCGTCTTAAAAATGATATTAAACTATCTAGTAAGCCAATCCAACATCCTCGAGCTTGGATTTTATCTGGCCTAGTCGCTCTATCCTTGCTCATCTTATGCATAACTCCCTCAACCTTCTCAAGCTTCATATGCATGCAATACCCAAATTCTCAATTACTCTCGGAGTGCTCTAAATCATCTAGTATAATGTTCATGTCCCCTTCTTTGTTTAAGAGTCCATAGAAGTATGTCGCCCATCTTCATCTAATATATGCTTCTTCCACCAATACTTTTCCTTTCTCGTCTTTGATACACTTTATTTCGTACATGTCAAAGGTCTTCCTTTCTCTCATCTTGGCTAGCCTGTACAACTTTTTGTCCCTTTGGACCCAAGTTCTTTATATAAAAATCCAAATGTTGCAGTCTTAGCCACCGTAATCACTAATTTCGTCTTCTTCCTAGCCTTCTTATACCAGTCCCTACTCGTCCTTTTCCCCACTCGTCCTTTTCTCCTCCTCGTCTTTGCTCGCCACTAGCTTTAATACGTTGCTTTCTTGGATTTTACTTTATCTTGGACCTCTTTATTCTACCACCAGACCCTTTTGTGGCCACCTAAGTAGCCCTTCGAGACCCATAACACCTTTCAAGTTGCTTCCCTAATGCAATTCACAGTCGTGATCCATATACTACTTGCGTCCCCACTACTCCCTCATGCCCCCACTACTAACAACTTCTCCTTTTCTACTGCGCTCTATCCTTAGTCAATGCTCCCCACTTAATCTTTGGTTGACCATACACATTCCTCTGTTTTCTTTTCTTTTTAATCTCTATTAGCCTATTTGGCTAAGATTCTAAAATCAGCTTTTTTTGAGAAGTGCTTTTCAAATAAATGCTTTTGGTGAGAAGCAGTTTATGTTTGACTACTTAATTTGAAAAATAATTTCGAGAAACAATTAGTGTTTGGTCAAAACTTTTAAAAAGTATTTCTATATATATTTCTCTCAAAATTATTTTTCAAATAAGCATTTCTGGAGAGAAACTAATTTTTTTCTTCTTAAAAATTATTTCTAATCAAAAATATTTTTTTATTTTTAAAAGTTTTATCAAACACCTTAATTTATTTTAAAAAAAAATACATTTGGCAAAAAAAAAAAAAAAATTTCAGCACCAACCAGGCTATAAGTCCATTACCAAGAACGTGTTGTGGTTAGAGAAGCTTATCAACAAAATGGCATTTCGTGTAAATAGATGGTGAAAGGAATGGCCAATTTTGCGAAACTGGCATTGCTTTTGAGATAAAGACACATGCATGTTACTCTGCTCTCAAGGACATATATCTACCGTCCGATCATTCCTTTTAACTCAACCAGAGTCAAGATTGAGCTTACTACTTTGGTTAGTCAATAGAGATGAGGAGAGACACTTCTCTCTCTTTCTTCCTTTTTTTCCTGAAGACTGATGAGTGGTGATGATGTGAAGCACTTTGCTTAGATATCTTATCATCATATTGAGATGGGGGGGAGAGAGAGAGAGAGAGAGAAGAACAGTTTCTTCTCTGATGAGTGAGTGATAATAATAATAATAATAAGAGATTTACTGCCCACGGAGGGAGCTCTGTCTCTCTGTCGGAATAGCTTCTTCACTTCAGATCTGCTCATTTTCATAAAGTTGTTCTCTAATCATCGCTTCTTAATATTATTATTATTTTATATATGATGGTGATGATGACTATATTCCTTATCTGATTAATTAATATCGTATTTCTTGAATTTCATTTTTTTTTTCTCTTTCAGATCTATCCAAATGTTCTACTTGTAGTACCATAAAGGTCAAGTCTTTAGATCTACTCTCTCTGTGTTGTTAGATCTAGTTTTTGTTCAAAAATGTGAAGTTGTTCTACTTAATAAGTATGTTGGAAGGGTAGTGTTACCATCAAATAATGTGTTTGTGTCAATGTATGATGAATTACTTCCCTGAGGAAGTGTTGGAGCATGTCTTCAATTTCTTGACTTCCCACAGGGACCGAAATGCGGTCTCTTTGGTCTGTAATTCCTGGTATAGAGTTGAGAGGTTCAGTAGAGAGAAGGTTTTTGTAGGGAATTGTTACGCGGTAAGCCCCGAGAGAGTGATTGCTAGGTTTCCGAGGCTTAGGTCGCTTACCTTGAAAGGGAAGCCCCATTTTGCGGATTTCAATTTGGTCCCTCATGATTGGGGAGGTTATGTTGACCCTTGGATTGAGGCGATGGCCGCGAGTGGTGTGAACTTGGAGGAGCTTCGTTTGAAGAGGATGGTGGTTTCGGATGAGAGCCTTGAGCTACTCTCGCGATCCTTTCCTAATTTTAAGTCTTTGATATTGGTTAGCTGTGAAGGTTTCTCCACTGATGGTCTTGCTGCTATTGCTTCCAATTGCAGGTATATATTCCTTTACTGCAGCAAATCTTTCAGCCTAATAGAATATATATGCATTATTATTTCTTACTTGTCTTATTGTTGGTGCATTCGATATGTGTGTTTGCTTTTCGTGAATTGCATTAATGTAGCAGTAGTCCTTTCCTATATTGCTGCAGTTCTTCATCCTTGTGGCTTCTCTGAGTATTCGTTCTTAACCAAGCAATATACCAAATTGTGCTGTTGGGATATTTCTCTGTTTTGCGATGTCAGTTTAGTTCTGCATGCTTGTTTAGTTTTGGCTATTAAACTCAGTCTACAGTTTACGCAAGTTCTGTTCTTCGGACTACTTTAATAAGTTCTAATAGAATAAGTCTTTCTCTTTTTGGTGGCTCATGGTAGTTCATGTTGAAATGTCATGTTTATTCGCAATCAACTGTCTCTTAATGCTGCAAGCTTCTTTATAGCTCACTCTGCGTATGAAGTAAGATATGTAAACACCTTTCTTCGCTGCACCTTGGTTCTCTACAAATTTTCATACCCATGATGTCTTGGTGAAGAACGTCTGTGAGGAGCTGCAAGGATGGTTTGAACTTGTGTTAAGGCAAAATTGTGATGCATTTGAATGATACACAGGGTAGATGATTAATTGAAATTGATCGTCTGATTCTTGACAATTTTGGCAAGGGTATCTTCACTTTGATCATTTGGTTTCTTGTTAATTGGTTCTCATTTGCAGGTTTTTAAGGGAGTTGGATTTGCAGGAAAATGAAGTCGAAGATCGTAGAGGGCAGTGGCTTAGTTGTTTTTCAGAGAGCTGCACTACTCTTGTCTCTTTGAATTTTGCCTGCCTCAAAGGAGAAGTTAACTTGGCAGCTCTTGAGAGGCTAGTGGCTAGATGTCCAAACCTAAGAAGTCTGAGATTAAATCATACTGTGCCTCTTGATGCTCTTCAAAGGATTTTAGTTAAAGCTCCTCACTTAGTGGACTTGGGGACAGGGACTTTTGTCAGTGATCCAGTTTCTGAGACTTACAACAAACTAAAGAATGCTCTGCAGAGGTGTACTTCTATTAGGAGCTTGTCGGGGTTCTTGGAGGTTGCTCCTCGCTGCCTGCCTGCTATTTATCCAATTTGCCTGAATTTGTCGTCTCTGAACTTGAGCTACGCACCTGGAATCTACAGTGCTGAACTTATAAAGCTGATTCGTTTCTGTGGAAAATTAGAGCGCCTATGGGTTGATATTCTTGCCCCCCTTTTAATTATTTCCTTGTTGCCCTATTTTCCTACAAATGTTTGACACAGTAAATATTGATTTTACAGATTTTGGATACTATTGGAGATAAAGGGCTAGGTGTTGTGGCTTCTACTTGTAAAGAATTGCAGGAATTAAGGGTCTTCCCATCTGACCTTCATGGATTTGGCCATGCTGCTGTAACTGAAGAGGGCTTGGTTGCAATATCAGCCGGTTGTCCAAAACTCAACTCATTATTGTATTTCTGCCAGCAGATGACTAATGCTGCACTTATAACCGTTGCCAAAAATTGCCCAAACTTTATTCGTTTTAGATTGTGCACTCTTAACCCAACTGTGCCAGACGCAGTTACCATGCAGCCACTAGACGAAGGTTTTGGGGCAATTGTACAGTCGTGCAAAGGCCTCAAGCGGCTGTCAGTCTCTGGTCTTCTAACTGATCAGGTTTTCCTTTACATAGGAATGTATGCTGAGCAGCTTGAGATGCTCTCCATAGCCTTTGCTGGAGATAGTGACAAGGGGATGCTATATGTGTTGAACGGGTGCAAGAAAATGAAAAAGCTTGAGATCAGGGATAGCCCTTTTGGTAATGTGGCACTTCTGGCGGACGTGGGGAAGTATGAGACAATGCGATCCCTTTGGATGTCGTCCTGCCAAGTGACCCTTGGAGCATGCAAGGCTGTTGCTCAGAAGATGCCGAGGCTCAATGTGGAGATCATCAGTGAGAGCGACCAGACAGACACTTGCTCTGATGATAGGCAAAAGGTAGAGAAGATGTACTTGTATCGAACATTGGTTGGTCCCAGGAAGGATGCACCAGATTTCGTCCGGACGTTGTAGAGGACATGTGTGCATTTGCTTCCCTCTGCCTCTTGTAACTTTAATTTGTTCAAATGAACTGTTATGTATTCTTAGTTCAACTATCAACTTATTGGAATGGAGACCATTCACTTTTCTGAATCTGGTGATCCACAAATTTAAAGGGCATTTCTTTATCTTGCTGTATGGATCTCTTTGCATATTTCCGGCTTCATTTACTCCATAGCCAGGAAAATGTGGATAGATTTATGCGTGTTATATTTAACTTTCTACTCTAAATTCTCTCTGCCCAACTATATGATTTATAATCATTTTCAGATTGACTACTCTTTTAACTTGATAAGACTAGGATATGAATTAGTATATAAATGAGATTCTGAGGGATAAAAGTCTAAAACTTTTCTAAAGTTATTCCTCATTAAATTTATAACTGATTACTTACGTTGACTTAGGCCGCTTTTCGCTCTTTTCCTCTTACATAACTTAGATGGAGGAGGATCCCCTATATCGAACACTCATTCCTATCTATTGATAGAAAGATCTTTGTCAAATACCGGACCAGCAGTTCTTCCATACCAACTTAGCCCGCCGTCGAGAGACTTTAATAACTATAGCATGCCAGACCCTTGAAAGAGTGCGTAATAGCTCACTGATCGAGCACGACGGGAATTGAACCCGCGCATGGTGGATTCACATGGAACTTTTTAATTAAAGAAAGGTTTTGAAACACAACTACATTAGATCTTTAATTAGAGCAATCATATGCAATAAACATATGAATAAGCTCGCATCTCCTGCGATTACCTTGCAAGTCACAGAAAGATTAAAGTCTTACTCAAACCTAATCTGCTCTCTCAGATAATGATTTTTAAAGAACCCACCATTTGGGCAAGCAAAACTCTTTGCACCTCAACCTCATTAAAAAAGAAGAAAAAAGCACTGGAAGGAACCATAAGAAAATGAATCGTTGCTGCTCAAGAAACAGGCGACTGATCTGTTGTTCAAGGACTAAAACTATGTTCAACATTCTCTTACAGTGAATCTGTAACCTAGAAATCTGCGGAGAAAAAACAATTCAGTTTACTGATCAATTCCTCAGACGTTGTAGTGTAAATCTAAACTGGTAACCTGTGATACCTACGACGCAAAAGAACTAAAACTGAAGGTGTCCAACTTGATATGCATCCTTGCTTGAATAAAGACCAAGTTGTGGAACCAACATTCACCGTTTCTTTTTGGTTCCCTTTGCGACACTGGATTTTGATGGGGTTGCAACCAGGTATACAAACAGAACCACAATTGAGACCACAGAAATCAAAGATCCATATTTTACCAACCAACTCTGCAAAAAAACAAAGACAGATGAAAGTTAGGACCTAATTCTTAAAACTTTCCACCGAAGCCATCATAATGCAAGAGAAACCCCACATTACTTTTAAAGAAGGGAATCACGTGAGAGATGTAAGATACATCAATTCAAGATGTCATAAAACACGTCCAACTTTGGGGAGGACTAGGGGATATCAAATGAGACTATACTCCATGTTTCACACTGTCCTCAAATTTTCTACACCATGTAGTTTACTTTTAACATTTGCAGCCAAATACATCGGCGTCCCCTTAACCTTGGCACTAATTTTTTTTCTTATCTTAGGGTTCGACCTATTGAACACCTAAAATATGAAATACAACAAAAAAAGGAAAGGTCTTTGATGCCCAAAAAAGAAAAAAACTTTCTTTCCAGATAAGTATTTCTTCTCCCCCCTTCCTCACGTCTTCTTCATCTTCTTTCTTTCTTGCCCAAATCGATTTCTAGTTTTACATGATTGTAATCATTCTCAAAACCAATAATAATACAAGCAGAAATCATACCTTAGCCTGTGAATTTTTGCCAGCAGTGTAAGATATCCATGCAAGAAAAATAAAATAAAATTAAAGGAAGTCATTATAAGAAACAACGACCAGTTAAACCATATTTAGATGGCCGTGTGCAGCTGCAACTAGTACTTAATCTTACCCAATCAAACTTTTTCTGAGGAGGTCTATCAGCTAGTATGTCAAGAGGAAGGATTGGAGTTGAGTATGCCTCTTAGAACAAAAACATTTAAGATCCAACACCATCCATATTCCATATCAACCAAACAGGTAAAAGCATGTCAAGAAACTGACGAGAATGTCAAACCTGCAGAGCAGCCTTTGTGGGGATGCGGAATGTTATAACTGCTGGTGCACCATAAAACACTGTTTTTGTCTTAGCCTCCAACTCAAAGGTGTGAGAACCTAATTTTTTTTGACTATATTTGAATTTTTATCATCTTCTACTATGTAAATATTTTTAAAATTTAATATATATTTTTTTAACTTTGTTACACTTATACATATATATATATATATAGAGAGAAAAAATTATTAATAATTTAAAAGGTCAATTATTATTTTTAGTATTATTTTTATTATTATTTTTATCTTTATTTTTAAATAAAATAAATTAAAAACCGAAAATAAATAAATATTAATTTTTTTTTAAAAACAAATTTCGGATGAGAATTAAAAAATAGGAAAAGTAGAAATATAAAATTAAAAAGTAAAAGTAAAAGTAGGTAGAAATTGTTTAATAAAAAAAGTAAAAGAAAATAAAAAATTAAAAAAATAAAAGTAAAAAAATGTGGAAATTTAAAAAATGAAAAGTAAAATAAACTTTGAATTAAAAAATAAAAGTAAGAGTATATGATTTTTTTTTAAAAAAAAAAGTAAAAGTAAGTGGGAAATAAAAAAATAAAAGTAAAATAAGTGGGAAATAAAAAAAGAAAAGTAAAAAAAGTAAAAAAAGTGGAATTTTAAATATATTAAAAGTAAAAAAAGTGAGAAATTAAAAAATAAAAGTAAAGAAAAGTGGGGAATTATTTTTTAAAAAAAATAAGAAAAATGGGAAGTGAAAATTATTTTTAATTAAAAATAAAAAAATAAATAAAAATCTAAAAATTCCGATTTTGTTTTCTATAAATAGAAGAGAAATGTGATGAAANATAAAAGTTTAAAATGCAGTAATGTAATAAAAGCGGTAAAAGGAATAAAAATGCACATATAGTTTTAAAACATGTTATAAATCAGATAATTACGCCAAGTATTAATTGTTAAGTGATCGTGCTAAAACCACAGAACTCGGGAGTGCCTCACACCTTCTCCCAGGTTAACAGAATTCCTTACCCGGTCTTCTGTGTTCACGGACCAAAAATAAGAGCCAAATTTCCTCGATTTGGGATTCTAAAATAAATCGGTGACTTGTGACACCATAAATTATTCTAAGTGGCGAATATGAATAAATAAATAATCCCATTTCGAATAATGTCACTTAAAATGAAAAAACTCCCTATCCCCTATCCCCTCGGGGAAAAGGAGGTGTGACAGCTCTGGCGACTCTGCTGAGGAATAAGAACCCAGAATCTCTGGTTCAGGGTTCAGAATTCGAGCTTAGAATAGCTGTTATACTTGGCTTTTATTTATTATCTTATTTTTACGTGTTTGAGCCTGATATGCTAAATGCCGCTTTTTACCGCTTTGATATTGCTTGAACTGTATATAAACTGTTAAGAAACCCTCTTCTCTTTGAATCTTCTAAATCTTTTGGGAAGCGTGCGCTTCGCGTGACTTCTTTTCTGTTAGAGTCATACCCTAATTTTAGAACGAGGTTCGGACAAGTTGCAAAGCTGGTGAACCTTCTGTATTCCCGGTACGCTGCCCCCCTCGGCTCGAGTTGTCTGCTCGGGTAAGCCAGGTCTAGAACAACACACCTAGGATCTAAACCTAGAATAACATAGCCTCATGCCGGATCCCTAGTAGGAACATTTATTTGCATCACGTGCATTTGACTTTGGGAACTCAACATAGGGGTTGGGTTCGTCTAGGACAGGTGTACCCAATATATTGGACCATCTTAATGCATTTTACGTGCTATTTGTGCATATGTTTGTTTCGGCTTGCATGTTGACCGGCTTCTAGAATAGGAAAAGGGAACCAAGAAAAAACAAAGAGTGAGGTAAAAAAAAATACTCGATTTTGAAAATCCAGGTATTTGAAAAATACTGAAACTCTGAAAAAAAAAGTCATTTTCAAAATAAGTCGTGTTTTCCTATTACTCCAAAACCTACCGAACTACGCGGGTCTGATTCTCACCGGATGTGAGATACGTAGGCAAAAAATCCAAAAAATCCAAAAAATTTCCTTCTTTTATAGAAGTTTTTCTTTTGGATTTTTTTTTTTTTTAAAAAAAAGTCAAAATCCAAAAATATTTTTCTTTAATTCATTCTTTAGAAGTTTTTTCTTAGAAAATCCCAAATAAATAAAAATTTAAAACCAAAAAAAAAAAAATTCTTTATAGAAGTCTTTCATTTGAAAAAAGAAACAAATCAATTCAAAATCCAAAAATATTCTCTACAAAGTCATGCCATTCGATTTGAAAAATGCTGGGGCAACTTACATGAGAGCCATGACTGCCATCTTCCATGACATGATGCACCGGAAAATTGAGGTGTATGTGGATNAATCCAGCCAAATGTGCATTCGGAGTTCCATCTGGGAAACTTCTGGGGTTTATAGTCAGCCGGAGGGGTATTGAGTTAGATCCGGCAAAGATAATGTCTATTCGGGATTTGCCACCTCCGAGAACCAAGAAAGAGGTCATAAGTCTACTAGGGAGATTGAATTACATCAGCAGGTTCATTGCTCAGCTTACTACCACGTGTGAGCCCATATTTAAGTTGCTGAAGAAAGATGCAGTGATCAAATGGACAGATGAATGTCAAGAGGCTTTTGATAAGATCAAAGAATATTTGTCAAATCCGCCAGTGTTGGTTCCACCCGAGCTAGGAAGACCTTTATTCTTGTATCTAACAGTCTTGGAAAATTCCTTTGGCTGTGTCCTGGGGCAACATGATGTGACCGGGAAGAGAGAG